CGCGTGTGGCTGGAGTTGCACTGCAGTTTCCACCCAAGCCTGAAACCGGATCTTTGGTGTGTGTGTGTAGGGCGGGGGGCCACGTGGAACTGGCAGCCCTGATGAGTGGGTTGGAGGAATAAACTGAATACAACGTGTGTGCTCGCAAAATCCAGAGAGGACTGCAAATGCCGTGCCTCTGTCCCAGGGCCAGCGGGTGCAGTAAAGGACTTGACCTTCACTGCAGACCAAACACGCAGGTCGGCCCTCTCAGGTTTTCACCGGCCTGGCAGGCCCCCGCTTCCTCCGGCCGTCCATTATGCGTCCTCTGGCTCTCATAGACCTTCCTGGAGCGTCTGGAGTGCTTGCCACTTTCTGAGGCTGAGTCTGCCTGACACCGTGGGCAAGCATGACATTCTGCGGGACGGCAAGGTGACCAGGGTCCTTTCTGACTATATTGACATAGGTATATTGACGTAGCGCAGGTTTATCATCACCTGGGGACAACCGCTGTCCAGCCCAGAGAAACGTGACCTGCTCTAGATCCTCCCTTCCCTGGTGTCCGTCTCAGTTTAGACTTTTGTCCACAGTCCTCGAAAATTATGGGTGTATATGTTGCATGTGCTTGAGGCAGCAAAGACCTGCCCCGCACCCCACCACCTTCCACCAGATCTGTAAACTAACTTACATCCAGGACCATGATTCTCTCACTGTGACAGGCCACACCAGGCTTCTGCTCACCAGCCTGCCTCTCTTCTTTCATTTTTTTTTTTTTGGTCACGCACATCAAGGAGCCCCCCAGCCAGCTGTCACTCAGAACTCCGCAGTCACAGACCCCTGCAGGTCAAGTCAGGACGCCCTGATGTCCAGCCTTACCACCTGTTATATCATGCCCACCCCACCACCTCTGCCATTTAAGTGGTAACACCCAGCCTCGGCCTCCCCACTCGCAAGCACGTCCGTCCGGTGCCCGGGCAGGTTTCCCACTGCAGCCCCCGGGGGGGCCACCCCCCAAGTCCCCACAGGTGCTGCGTGTTCTCGTTGCCTCAGAGAAGGGAGCGGCCGCCCAGGGAACACAGGTGGCTCTTGAGTCTCACGTAATGACTCCATCCTAGCGTTCACGCCTCCTGGAACTCTCCGTCCCCTTCCTGAAGGCCACGCCAGGGCCATGCAAATGTGCCCGCCTCGTTCACTGTGAGCCAGACGCACCTCCGGGCTCCGCAGCCGCCCCGCGGAGTGTGAGGACCCGTCCGTGCGTCCTTCACCCCACGTCCCGGGAGAATGCTGCCGTGATGATAAGCCGTCCTTTGTCCTGCCTTATGTTCTTCCCTCGGCCTCTCCACCCCAGGCCCGTTACCCTCCAAACCCACTCACCCACGTTGCTCCTCGGGTCCTGGGAACACGCACCAGCGGGGGCTGCGGTCCCGTCAGGGTCTGAGCGGTGTCCTCCCAGGCCCCGGTGGTATTTCCCTGCTCGGGCTGTGCTGGGACCTGACCCGGTTCTCCGTGTGGAGGATGACAAAGGCTTTGGCAGAGGATCTTGAGGAGGCCAAGCATTGTCTTGCTAACCTGCCTCCCTCGAGATCTCGGCGGGGTCTTCAGGCAAGGAAGACCCACAGGAGGGGACCCCGGCTTTCAACATGTTCAGGCCCATCCACCCTCTTGCCTCAAAGGCCTTGGTGCTTTCGCAGCAGGCCTTGAGTTGATAGTTGCCTGACTTAAGCCTGTTCCTTAGTTGTTTTTTTTTCCCAGACTCCCAAAGCAGTTAATAAAAGCTGGCCAAGCCCTGGCTGGTGTGGCTCAGTGGACTGAGTGCCGGCCTGCACACTGAAAGGCCACAGGTTTGATTCCCCATCAGGCCGCATGCCTGGGTTGTGGGCCAGGTCCCCGGGTGGGGGTGTGCCAGAGGCAACTAATCAATGTGTCTCTCATACATCAATGTTTCTCTTTCTCTCTTTATCCCTCCCTTCCCCTCTCTAAAAAGAAAATCTTTTTTTTAAGATGTTATTTATTTATTTTTAGAGAGGGAAGGGGGGGAGAGAGAGAGAGAGAGAGAAAGAGAGAGAAACATCAATGTGTGGTTGCTGGGGGCTGTGGCCTGCAACCCAGGCATGTGCCCTGACTGGGAATCGAACCTACGACACTTTGGTTCGCAGCCCGAGCTCAATCCACTGAGCTACGCCAGCCAGGGCTAAAAAGGAAATCTTTTAAAAAATTACTATAGGTGTAGTTCTTCCTTAGTGTAGAGAGATCAGTTCATTAAAAAAAAAAAAAAAAAAAAGCTGGCTGAGCCCAGGCGTTCTCACCACCCGCACTGTCCAAGCACACTGGCGGGCACACACGGGATCTGGTGCTCATCGCCCACCCGCGCCCGTCGGTGAGCCTGGGCGGTCACCATGCCGCTCCTGCACGCCAGCGGCTGTCAGCACCCTGCCACCAACAGTGCCTTAGTGTTCTATCGATGTCACGATGCTTTAGTGGTGTAGAACAACACGGTTATTATCTTGCCGTTCTGCGAGGTGGAAGCCCGTCATGGGCCCCGCTGTGCTGAACTCAGGGTGGTGTGAGGTCCGGGTTCCTTCCTGGAGGCTCTAGGGAGAACCTGTCTCTCGGCCTTTTCCTGATTCTAGACTCGCGTCTCACATTCCTTGGCTCGAGGTTCCCTTCCCCCACCCTCGAAGCCAGCCATGTGCGTCTCTCCGGCCACCCGGCCCTGGCCGCCGCTGACCGCAGCCCAGAAGGGTCCCCTGTTTTTAAGGACCATGTGATGAGGTTGGCTTGTCCACACCATCTAGGAAAGTCGCCCGTCTCAAGGTCCTTGACCTTAATCATACCTGCCTCCGCCATGCAGGGTAACATTCTCAGGCTCCGGAGGTGGTCACCTTTGGGGGTGGGGCCACCATCCTGCCAACTGCAGACAGCTATGGGATGTGGGCCACGACTGATGGTCTGCTTTATGAGTATTCTGGCTATCAGTTGTCTTAGCCTGAAATCTCCGAAACAGCAGAGCTTGAGACGAAAGCTTGCAAGCAAACCATTTTCTTGGGAAATGACTGCAAGATTCAGGACCCACCGGCGTAAAACAGAAAAGAGGAACGCTACCATAAAGAAGCATCGCTGAATGGCCATAGGAAACTGGTTGTTGGTTCTGCAGCATCTTCTGAATGCCTCTCAGAAGTGGCTGCCCAGGGGACGAACAGGAAAGGCATCTACCCCCAGCAAGCGTCCGCCGTTGGTCAAGGGCAGACCCGTGGGAACTTAACCCCTCTGCACTCCCGGGATGTGAACGTGAGTACCAGGTGAGTTCTGGGTTGGGGGGGTGCCCATACCATGGTGAGGCCGAAGTGAATGGTGTGTGCAGGAACCCAAAGGGGGGGGCATTACGTTCTCTGAGGTCCTGGTTGAGATCGCAGGGCACAGGGGGTCTGAAGTGGGGCCCCAGGTTTCTGAAGCGTGGACCGAAGGTGCTGAGGCTGGAGTGCACTCGGCGTGTTTGAGAAGGCGGCGGGGGGGGGGGGGGGGGCGTGGCACTGGCAGGCACTGGTCCCGCAGCGTGCATCTGAATGCGGAACTGGACGCCTAGGGTGGCAAGCGCTTACTGTGCCGAGTACGGCCAGCCAGGCAGCCAGCCTGCAGGATGGAAGCCACTCTTGAGCTCGACTCCACAGGCAACAAGATCTTGCAAAGGTGGGTTTGAGCTTTTGCAAAACTCAAGAACCTTCACTGTTGTTTTTCACTGTTGGTGCCTGCACAATGATGGAACAGGACACAGAGAGTTCCTTGTTTTTCACTTGTAAACGTTTAAAATGCAAATGCGTGTTTTACTATTACCAGCTAGAGCTCTGGTGATACAGGCCGTTCCTGAGGGTTGGTTTTCAACACATCTCCAGCATCAAATTACCGCCTTTACAGTATTTGGGGGCAGGGAGGGTAGATCACGGGTCATCTGCTTTCTCCCACCACCAATTAGGGGGGAAACCAAGAGGAACCTGTGACCGGATGAAGAGCAGTCGCTAGAAATTTTAAACTATTCATTCACCTTTGTGTCAAGATTACATAGCCCCAAGGCACAGTCCCTACTGTGTTGGTCTCCACTTCAGTTTCTCAGGACATTGCAAACTGCCGACGAGGTGAAATGCTTGAGCCAAGTCGCAGGAGGACCAAAAGCAGTTGTTTGCTTCTGTTAGCGTCACCTGGCACTCATCTTCGCCTTGTTCGTTGGTGTTCACAGAAACAAAACCCCGGAAGGTGGGAAAACGGTTCCATCAGAAGGGCAAGGACTGTCCAAGCCGTATTAGTCAGGGTTCTAGAGTTTGTGGAAGGGACCTTGGAGAACACTGGCCTTTTTCTGAATGCCCCCGAGGGACGGGGGACTGACCCAGGAAACAAGAGAAATCATATGACTAGGTATTGAATCTGGACATGCCGTGATAAACATGAGCTAACAGGTTTTGGAAAATTAGGTTTAGTGCCTAACTCATACGATCCTGAGAGTCGACAGGATCCTCGGAGATCACGTCGTCTGGTAGGACCCCCAGTGCAACCGTTCTCTGCAAAGCCCCCGGGGGCACCGGGAACACGTAAGCCTGTGGCCCCTGCGCTGGAGGCCCCAGCAGACAGCAGGCAGTTCTGTGCGGGCTTTCAAGTTGCTTTTAGTCTTCAGAGGCCAACTCATGGTCTTAGGTTGTTTCTACGAAAACAAAGTAACTCTCTCCATAGAAATGCACAGCTCACTTCACACATGCTTATCGCCCAGTTGGGGACCCACTTTGTCTGGAGTGTAAGTCACCAGGATGACGGAGAGTTCCGGAAGGCAAGGCCAGAGTCCAGGACGGCTCTATTTGTGACTTCCGTTGAGTGCCTTGCTTATGTCATGCTTTCGAATGTTTGCTGACAAGCGAATGGGTTGGTGAACGAATAAGCGGAAATGACACGAATGCCCCTATTTAAAAACAGAGTATTAGCTGATTTATTGCCTAAATGTTCGTTCAAGAGGAAAAAAAATACTCGAATGACTGAAATGGTTCTTTAAAACTTTATTCAGAGTTATTCACCTCACTGTTAATAAGGTGTCCAGTTAATTCTCAGTGCCAGTGTTACTAGGACTGCCCATTGTTGGCCATAGACTTTGAGAAAATCCATTTCTGACACCCAAAGGTTAAATTGCTTTTCAAAACATACAAACTCCCAATACTTGCAAAAGTATTGCATGCACCATTTCCCCATCAATCTTTAAATCTGAATTTCCATTATTAATCTGTACCAGTGGATGTTAAAATGAAATCATCTTAACAAATTATGACTGTACAAATCAAAATACCACTAGTTAATATTAAACAAGAGTATTTTACAAACACTACATTACATTATTACCTTGAGATTTGAAACATTACATTTCATATTTGTGTAAGTTTGAGATAACCGAGACTTCACAGAATTTAACAGCAAATGAAGTTTTAGAAATTTAATTCTGTACATTAGTTCCAACGATCTCTATTTTACAATCTATAAGGCTCATGTCCTAGGTCAGCACCAAAAATATCTACAAACTGTCTAACCAGTCTCATTCATACTATGTGATAGTGTTTTTAAGGTGAAAGTCTTGAGAAAACCCTTTATAGATCCTACTTCCAGGTCTAGAAGTAGAATACTCGTTTTGGCTGATCAAAGTATGTAAAAATATGGGTTTTACCTTTGCATTTTCATTAAACAGAATTTTTCTAAAAGGAAAAAAATACACCTTGAATTTAGGTCGTCAGTTTTTTCAGTTGAGTTTGTAACACAAGCATCAGAAGTAACCTAATGATGCCTTGCCCCATCCTCCCTTTTTAAAAATTGCAAAAGGCAGCCAGAAAAATGGTTTATTTCTTCTTCAAAATAAGGTACAAAGGACGGCAGCAGCAACCGTCCTTGGGCCCCAGCTCCAGAACAGCTCAGTGCTGCCCGGCCTCACCCCGCACGCGGCGACTCCGGAGGGACCCAGAGCCGCGCTCACGGACGGCCCCCGGCGCGCCGTGCCGTCTGCGGCAGGCGTCTGCCCAGCGGTCCCTGGGGCCTGGGTATGAAGCCGCATTCCCGCTTCCGGAGCCAGAGTCACCGGCCCAACTCTTCTCTCTCCGGGACGTTGTACAAAGTCCAGAAAAGGGACATCTGCTTTCCAACAGGGTTTGTGTATAGCACACGTAAAAGCACATTCCTAAACTAGAAACTTCCTTCAAAAATCACAGGTACTTTCAGTAATCTTGTTTGTTCAAAGTATAAAATTCCTCCACGTTCAGACACATTAAAATTGAAGAAGACGAGTACCTCTCTTCTGCCAGAAGCACACGACTCATCGAACCGCATTTGAAACAAAGCCTCATGCACACGAGCGGCCGGGGGGGTGGGGACTTGCACAGAGCCCTTCGCGGTGGCGCCGGCGGTGGCGGAACGGAGCGGCGGCCAGACCCCACCAGGGAGCGCACAGCACACGGAGCAGAGACCTCCCCGAGAGCGCGGCGGCTTCCCGGGCTCCGTGTCAGTCACACAAAATGTTAAGCAACATGTATTCATTTAATATCGCCCCAGACACCCCGTTCCCAACCGTTCCCACACACCCCCCCACCCCCGAGCCCACTGGCGCCCCCCCGCACAGGAGTCCTCAGTGCTCCCCGTTGCTGATGACTGCCGCGTCGGGGTCCGCCGCCGTTCCCGGGAGTCTCGGCACTTTCTTCGCAGGACTTGGAATGTGCTGAAACCAAAGGGAAAACGTTGTCTCAAGGCTTGTTGTTTTCCTTTTTTTTTTTTGAGCCACAGTGCTAATTAAAGTTTCAATAGAAGAACAGAGAGCATAACTTCGGACAGGTGTGAGCTAAATATATACACTACGTAACTGTCCATGGCGGGAACTAAGTACCCGTTCTTCACCTTGTGGAGAAGGTAGCACATAACCATCCCCACAGCGAGACACAGAGGAAGGCCCAGGTCCACCAGATACAGTGCCTGACGCGCCACAAGTTACATTCATGACCCAGACGCCAGAAGCCTGACCTGCCGCCCGATTTGTGTGACAGCAGAAGACCGCACCCACCAAACCGGGGATGCGCAGACAAAATGGGAAACCTCAGGATGGTCAAGTCCTCAGGTTGGAGCTGGCTGCGATCCTGGTCAAGTCATTTGACAACCTGCAGCCTGGTCTCTAGAATGGGCATAATATGATGGGCCTCACGGTGATCTCCTTGAGGATTAGCTTACAAAATACAAGTAAAGGACTAGCATAAGGGGGAATGCAAAGCACGGCCCTCACTGTCATCACCTGGCAGCTGCGGGGGCCAGGCGGACCACGGCCTGCGAGAGGAGCGGGCAGAGCCCCACACCCCGCCCTGGAGACTTCTCGCACGGAGACGTCCCGCAGACAGCCTCTCTCTGTCCGCCTTCCTTTACACCCCGGCATTAGTAAAGCCTGGTATTTTCAGAACACTGACGGTTTAAGGGCGGGGCTTTATAAAGCTGGAGACTGGCACAGCTGGCACCCAACCCTAGCACCTCGCTCCGACTTCCTCTGCTTCCTGCACATGGATGCAGACTCCGTCCGGCGGGGTCCGAGTGTCGTCGTGGGTGCGGTGAGCGAACGCACCCGGACTACCGAGTCCTGTGCAGAACAAGGGACGGCACGGCCCGTCTCTGGGAGACAGAGCGCCCCGGCCCCTGCCTGGGCAGGCTCTTACTGCTTTCTTCAGAGGAGGTTCTCACTCATTATGCTCAGGTTTGCTTTAGGTGATTACTTTTTACGGATAACAAAGGAAAGGATGTTACTGACTACTTCTTACAGATTAACAAGGAAAAAATGTTGCACATGGAAGGGAGCATAAGAGTGATTGGTCTGGTTACGTTACACTCCATCCTTGGGAGAATTAGCAGATTTTAGGAAGTCACTTTAAAGATACGCAGCAAGCATTTGCTGTTTAACTCAGGGTGAGGGAGTTTCAGCCAGAGCCAGCCTCAGAGCAGCCTGGGCGCAATGCAGGCCTGGTTCCCCACGGGAGAGCCGACCCGTGGGCCTGGCCCCTGTGTGCCAGCCCGTGCCTGCAGGCTTCCCAGTGGGGCTGGGCTACATTCGCCATCGCCAGGCAGGCCAGCTCCCTGTGGCAGGAAAACTTGACCCCGCCAAAGCCCCGGAGCAGACCCAACGGGCCCGGCTCACCTCAGCCGCCGTGCTGGAGCGCACAAGCCCCACCCCTTCGTCCGACGTGTCGGCGCTGGGACAGGGGCGCCGGGCATACGTTCTCCTGTGCTTCTCATCCACCCTGACCAGGTACCACGTTCCTTCAAAGAGTGAGTCTATTGAACTCTGGGGAATATAGTTGGCTAAAGGAAAGGCAGAGAGTGTGACAAATTAGTTATAGCACACAACTATCTGGTAATCAACTACAGAAGGTGCGTATTTTCCTGTACTTTTCATCACCATCGAATGAGGACTGAATACAGCCTAGGTACGTGGGTATCCTCATCTTATACGTGACATGTTTAAGGTTGTTACGGCCTTCCAGCAGGCTTTTGGGCATATGTTCAGGTACATTTAATGTAACATTTTTACCCAGGTGATGAGTGTCCTCTCGGAGCTTCATGCTTTCGGCAAAGGCCGCTGGTGTCACACAAGTTCTTGAGTCAAGCCTTGATTTAAGGTCACACAAACTTGCTGTTATTTTATCAAGAGCAGACCCTAAAACAGTAAATAATTCCAACGTTAAAAGACTAAAAATAGCATGCCCAAAAACCTAAACAAAATGTTGCCAAATGGGGAAAAAAATCGTCTCCTGTTTGTCAGAAGTGCTGGCTATGGTTTAGTAAACAGATGGTGTCCCTCTGACACAGCTTCCCGCGGCCTCTGATGCCCGTCTGTCTGGTGGCAGTGGGTACGCAGGTTAGGAAGCGGAGGGCAGGTGGGGTTTGAAACTACAGATGACCTCTGTACATTTTTTTTAAGACTTTACTTATTTATTTTTAGAGAAAAGAGAAGGGAGGGAGACAGTGAGGGAGAAAAACATCAGTGTGTGGTTGCCTCTCACGTGCCCCCCCACTGGGGACCTGGCCCACAACCCAGGCATGTGCCCTGACTGGGAATCGAACTGGTGACCCTGTGGTTCGCAGGCTGCGCTCAATCCACTGAGCCACGCCAGCCAGGGCTGTGTACAGTTTTTAAAGCAACCCAAGTCCACCGTCACTTTTTCTCTACGGTTTTGCTCCTACCAGCTCTGGAAAGGCACACAAGTTTCCTTAAATATGGCCAAGACCACAAAGCTATAAAAACTAGGTAACTTAGATATGAGCAAACAAGAAGAAATGGTTCACTCATGTGATCAGACTCAATCATTAAACGCTCAAAAGCTGCCTGCATTAAGTGGATACCCTACCTGTTTCCCTGACTATATGAGTAAAACGTGAGATGAAAGGAAATCTTTAAACTGGTATTTGTTTCTGCCTGGGAAGGAGGGAAAGGAGACACTGTCACTCGGACACAGTCCTGCCCTTTCCCCAGATACGGCAGATTTGTAGATGAGGAGTCAAAGCTGGGCTGTGTTGAAAGAGGGAGTGGGGGAGGGAGCGTACTACCGATCTATGGGGCAGACGCCAGTGCCTGCCGGGGAGCTGGCTGCACCCACGTTACCACAGTAGGTGCCCAGAACACATTCTTGGAGAGAGCCTCGGCGTTTACCTGGTGTGGCATCTTGCGTGACTCTCAGGGAGTACAGGGTGGCCGCCAGGCCGGAACCGTAGGAGAACACGCCGATCCTCTCCCCCGCCAGCTGCTGGGGCGAGTACCTGTGCGGGGAGAACGATCAGGATGGCGGACTGGCCCCGCACGGCAACGTGCCGGAAGCTACGGCGGGAACAAAAGTTCGCCCTGCAGCCCCGGGGACCTGACCTGACGCTTTGCCCTCACAGTAGGTGGACGGGAGCAAGCATTTTCATCCCTTGGAGAGCGATGGGACTTGTGAGAGTTCTTTCACGGTAACGTAAGTGACTCTGTCAACCAGGGACTGACGGTTCGGATGTGGGTCAGGAATAATGGAATCACAGGACCAGTGGCCAGAAAGGCCAGCGGGACAGTCAATGCCCGGGAGTGACTGCAGCCTCACCCCACAGACCCTTTCAAGTCAGTGGGCAACCGGCTGGAGAGCCCGGAAGTAACCTGTCGTCCTGTGACCTGGCGCCGAACTTGGCCTGAGAACCCCAGCAGCCCCCATGTGCGGGGCAGGGAGGGGAAGGGGGGGAAGGGAGGGGAGGAGCTGAAACGGGACTCACTGTGCCAGAACAGAGGCGAGGGAGCCGTACACGGATGGCGTGTACATATTTCCGTTCTGATTCGATACGAGCAAAGATGCCTTTGTTTTCTGGTGAAAGAGTTCGGAACTGGCCTTCATGAACGCCTTCTCCACTTCTCTATCAAAGTAGGTATCTTCTAATTTAACGTCCCTGAAAAATGTGTAAAAGGCGGTGTTAGTGTTCAAAGACACCCTTTTTATAGCATTAGATCGTACGCCCAGCTAACACTCTGGCCTGCAAGCGGGCATCATTCTGTTTTTCATGGCTCCACGTTAAAAGCCAAGTAGCAGCACACTAACTGCTACGGAAGACACAGCAGCTGTAGACAGATAATCCTTTTCTCACATTTTTTTTTTAAATCAGGTTAAGACAACTTGATGGAAGTGGGTTAATGAACCCACTAGCGCATTGCTGCCACCAAACAAAATACACTGTTTTAAGTCCACAGCGTCTACTTAGTTGGAAGAGTTACTGCGTTACAGGAGCCGGGTCTTACGAGCGGAGCAGAGTCTCAGCAGACGGACAGGGGACACAGGCCAGGAGAGACGGTGAGAGCTCAGCAGGCGCGGCTCGCCAGGGAGCCCTCCGAGTGGAAGGCTGTGGGGGGGACACGGGGGCAGACTCTGATCGCGGCCGGGCGCAGGGTGGCTCTGGGGCACCCGGGCCGCTGAGGCTGGTGAAGGTGCTGTTTAGATGTGGGCACTCGCAGGGAACGTGATCGCAGTGACGGCGGGGAGCTACCAGGAGGGAGTCAGAAAGCTTGAGTGGAAACACCCACAGAACTCCTGCAGGTCAGAGCCACCGCCTCTCCGAGACTCAGTCTCTTCACTGATGACACAAGGAGGTCAGACGAGGTCACTCCCAAATTTTCAGGACTATACAAACCAGAGTTTAACAGATATAAAAAGTATTCTCACATAGAAAAAAAAGTCATAACTGCTTACCCAAAGGCCTCCAGGCCACTATAGATACTGTTTTTGTCCCGGTTCTGGTCACTCAGGAAGTCGTTCAGCATCATTCGAGCCAGAGACTTCTGAACCAGCTTACAGTAGGGGGAGTGGAAGATCATGAAGCCGAAATCATTCAAGGTGAAAGCTTTATCAATTCCCTCTGGAAAAGAAATCCAAAGACGTTAAGAAGCTCACATAAGCCACTAACTTTTGAGGTTTTATTTTTTGAACAGGGCTAGGATGTCTTTATATCTTTAAATCGCAACCAAAAATATACTAATATACCGTATAATCAAAAATCCCTGTGGTTTAAAATGTGTATCAACGAGACACCCAGAGGAAGGACAGAGAGTACTGGTGTTCAAAGCTAAGAGTCACAAGCTGTTAGTGGATTATGTAATCAATTTAGTGAGTCAGGGCCAGTATTTTTATTTTTTATCTTAAAAAATTAGAGGGTTTTTCTTTTCAATGTAACAGAGTAGAAAGTACACCGCACAATTTGCAGCATGGATAAGTAATTTCGTGACATTTTTATTTGAGTTTAGCACACATAGCTGATAGTGTATTTTTTACTCTGGGTCCTAATAAAGTTATAAAATCACGCCCTGGCTGGGTGGCTCAGTTGTTTGGAGTGTCATCCCGTACACCAAAAGGCTGCGGGTTCAATCCTCAGTTGGGGCTCATGCAGGAGGCAACCTGTTAATGTTTCTCTCTTTCCCTCCCTCCTTCTCTCTAAAACCAATAAGCATATCCTCAGATGACACCTGATGTTAAATATAAAAAGTGCGACATTTTACATACTTCAAGAATGCTTCTTATCCAGAGCCATGAGGTTTCTGAATATCGGTTTTCAGTCCCCTCCCACACCCTCTGCACAGCAAGGTGGACAATGGGAAAAGCACTGAGTATATATGACGCTGTGTTTTAACAGCACTGACTCTAACACTGTCCTTCTCTGTACCTCAGAACTTTCTCAGCTGAGCCAGCTTCATTCTGGAAAAGATATGTCGTATCCAGAAGAACTAAGCAACTACATCTATTTTTCAGTCCAGTCAAAATACATCAACAAACTGTAGGCAGTCTTTACTTGGCCAGAGAGCAGTGCTTGAGCCCTTGAAGCTGTGCTGGGTTCTACTGAAGTTCTGACTGTTGGAATGTTGTTTTGTAGACAACACGCCATGATGTGGCTGTCTCGACATCTGCAACCAAATTACACTGTGCAGTATGCCACTCTTTGGAGTGGTCATCAAAGACACAGACTGCTTGTTGTTTAACCGAGGATCCTAAAGCATGTGCCTAATATTATATTATGCCTATTCTAAAAAGCTCTGTGGCAGATTTCTAAAAATTATTAAAAAATATATACCACTGACGGGGCACGGGGGGAGTGATGAACCTTCTCAGGGTTAAAGATGGAGATGATGACGGCATTATAAAAGCAAACACGGGGACTTCCAGTCAAGATGGAGGTTTGAGTACACATGCTTCGCCTCCTTGAGCAGCCATAAAGAGAATTACAACTAGATCTCAAAACAAGTAACGCCCAGAACTGTCAGAAAATGGAGCTGTATGGGCAGTCTGACAACCAAAGATTTAAAGCCACATTCACCCAGAAGGTTGAAGGGGCGGAGCCACAGAGGTGGGAGGAGTGGCTCGGGAGACGTACTGTGTGGTGCAGAGAGGCGGCAGTGGAACAGACAATCCCACATTCAGATGCGGTGGCTAAAAGTCAGAAGGGATAGCTTGGGAGCGAGCGACCCTGCCCTGGGCTAGGCTGAATAGCCCAGGGTTCTAGCACTGGGAGGATAAATCCCCGTAACTCCTGGCTGTAAAAACCAGTGGGGGTTGGGACAGTGGAGGAAACTGCCAGATTTTCAGGAGACTCGGCTTAAAGGGCCTGTATAGTCTCAGAAAGGTACGCAAACCCACCCACTCTGGGATTCAACACCACGGCCACAGCCGGAAGGGCGCCAGTTGCACATGAGAAGTGGGAAAAGTGACGGGCAAGGGAGCAAGTGCCGGGCAACCCCCCAGAAGCCAGGCAGCAGCACTGTCCCCTCTCTGAGCCACCCCCCCCCAGAGGAAGAAATAAAGGACACTGATGAAGGACGCCCACTGAAGGCACCCAGCAATCCGTCCTCCCCAGAGACCAGGCCAAGGAAAAGTACAACCCACCTTTCTGCCACTGGGCACGGATCTTTTTGCGGTAGACGGAGTAGCAGCGGTCCAGGGCACTGAGATAGCACTGGATGGAGAGCTTCCCGTCTACCACGGGGTATTCCGAGAGCATGTCTGGCTTGTAAAAGTCATAGGCGTGTTGCATGTGTGTCCCACGGAGTCCTATTGAAACCAAAAAGGCAGATGTCCATGGGTTTCTGTTTCTGGATGTTGTAGGTTAGGAGGCATTATCGAGGGCCTTCCTTAACCAGTCACCTCTGGCTACTGGCAGCATAAAATTCACAAGGTGGAGCCGATATGCAATCGAAAAGAAACAACCGTGTCCACAACCGGCCTACGACTCCTTGGATGTGCATGTCCGCGTGAGTTTCATAATCTGAGTGGGAGACCACAGTTGCTTTACTGGACTGAGAACAAACTTGCCAGTGACGAGATGAGCACACGTAAGGGACTCCTTTCAGTGACTGCTCAAACCCACTTTCCTTCTCTGCGGACTGGGGATGACATCGCTGGCCTCCTGTAACTGCTAGGGACACTACACATGGTGATGCACATGAAGCGCTTAGCAGGCAGTGCCTGCCCTGAATGAATCCGCAGTCAGCACTAGCTTCTATTTTCACATTCCTCAGCATACTATGCTAAAACGAAACCAAACCAAAACCCACCTTCCCAAACACTCACCTCGCTCAAAAATCAAAGGCGCGTTGGGCCCGATGAGCAGGGCAACGGCCCCGACCCCGCCTGTGGGCCTGGCGTTCCCTGTGGCGTACACAGCAATGTCCCCTGCGACCACCAGGGCGTACCGTCCTGGAAAACAGCGTCAGTGCAAGAGAAGGTGACCCACGCGGTAAACACTACGTGTGGAGACTGAAGAGTTGCATTCTCCCCAGAATATGCTTTCCAACTTGGGTAAAGAAAGAAAATGGCCAGATTTTGACAAGATAATGACCGTACATGATAAAGACAACCAATTCGTAATTCAGGCAAGTTGAAAGTCATGGCTGTCCTCCTGCGTGCATGCCAACAAGCCTGAGTGGTGACGTTTGCACACAGCAACGGCGCAAAGGTCGTCGGGGCCCGCCCGTCTCCCAGGAGTGTTTCGGGGGAACAGAGACGTACCATCCCAGGAGCTGGACTCGATCCAGTTCACGGCGTTGAAGATGGCGGCCGTGCCGCCGTAGCAGGCGTTCGTGGTGTCTATCCCTTCTATGTCCGTGTTCCCAGACTCCTCGAAGAGCTGCATCAGGTTCGTCTTCACGGACTTGGACTTGTCGATGATCGTCTCTGTCCCCACTTCTAGCCGCCCAATGCAGTCATAGGAAAGGTTATTTCTCTCCATCAGATTCTGAACCACAGTCATGCAGAGAGAGTTGATGTCTTCTCTGTCTGTGCAGAAGCCCATCTTGGCCTGGCCCAAGCCAATGGTATACTTCCCAGCAGCTACACCATCGTATTTTTCCAACTCTGCTTGATCAACATATTGAGAAGGAAAATAGATCTCCAGGGCAACGATCCCCACATCTTTTGGCCAGCAGGCTTCTGCATTCAGAGGAAGTGACCCAGGCATGGTGAAAGAGCTTTAGAAAGAAAAATAGAAAAATACTGTTTTGTTATAAATTGTCAAGTTCAAACTTGAGAAATTGACATTAAGAGTTCGACTACCACCTAAAATATTAGTTTACTTCCTAAGTTTAGTATGTTTTCTCAAGGCAGTCAAATTCAAGTATGGGGAAGTAGCAACTAATGCAAGAACTAAGTACCATTATTTAAAATTATCATCTTTCAGAAAGGCTTGCCCTTTACTCAAAACTAGACAGGTTTATAGATTTATAATTTGATTATTAGAAGTAAAGGAAGCTCAAATAAGATTCTGCCATGTTGTAAAGAACTGTAAGATGAAATACGATGGCAATTTAGTAATACAGCCCACAAATCCGAAGTACCTGATGTATTTCCGGCCACCCAAAGTTTAAATAAGTCAGTCAGTGCTTCATTACAGATCCATTGGTTATTCACAGCTACTGACTTTACAAATTGTTAGATCAAATAATGCTATATTCTCTATTAATCTACACAACCCCAGCAAGTAGAAAAGCCACACTGTAGAAGTCTACCAGTCTATACACAGCCTGATACATGATCCTATCCTTCCAAAGAAACCCCCTACCCAGAAACCCAAATGATTGCAATTTTATGCAAAGACAAGTCCCAGAGCCTATCACAGGGTCAAATGTCAACATTCTATACTTTCTACAGCTAGTGTATAGGTAATAAATGATCATAAAACCACAAGGTATCACTTAGCTTCTAAATTAGGGAAAAGATCTGATTAAATTTGAAAACTGGTAATTCACACATTATTAGTATGGCAACTAATTCTGAGATAACGCTTCTTAAAACCATCCCTTCTCTTTTTAAAAGGGCACCACAAGGTTGGACACACTGTCAATACTTATAGCTGTGTCTTAGATACACTTATTAATGATAAAAAAAAAAAAGTCACTCAAGACCATTGCTGGGTGCTTATGGGCAAGCCACATAAACTATCAGAGCCTCGATTTCTTCAGAGGTTGTATTAACTAGGAGAACGGAAACTATTTTATACACTTCAAACAGAGGGACTTTAACACAGGGAAATGGTCACAAGCTTGCAGGCCAAGCTACAGGAGCAAAGGGCAGTGGTCATTCAGATGCCGAGATCCCCACCCGGCCCTAGAGCTGCCGGAGCCACGAGCACCAGCCCTTCTGCCGCCAAGTTGGGCCCAGAGACCCAGGCCAGCCTGCTGCCACCCACGAGGGCACGGGGCCCTCCTTCCTCCTCCCGATCTCGCCGGAGCACCGCCACCAGGGGTCTCGCAGAGCCCAGATGGCACAGGGGCGGAGAACTGTAGGTGTCAGGCTTTGAGGAGTGGCGCGGTCCTTGTTTTCAGAGAGAAAATTCTTTCCATATCTAACCTCTGCAACTCAATTTCCTTTTTAGGTATCCCATCGTAGGATGCTGTTGCTTAAGTGGCAGACTGTCAGCTCCCCCGTGACACAAAGGTCCTGGCTTACGAGAGTTACCCGGGTCACACTGCCTCGCTAACCTTCCACAGCATTTGCCGACTCACCACTAATCTGACCCCTGAGAATGGACAGTCAGCTCCTGTATCTGTGTTATTTGTCTCCTGCTGCTCTGTGAACTCTGGAATGGTCTTAGGATACAACGAAATTACAGACTGCGGCCACGTGAGTGGGCTGTTGAAATCCTGAGAGAACATCAAAAGTAGAAAGGATGTCCTTAAATCATGATGTCTACCCTTAGCCCGTGAGTCATTAAATTACGTGTACATTAAAACCTAAAAAAACATAATCACCTTAAGTATAATCACATAATCTAAGTCAGAGGCCTTAAGGGGTATCTGTTGAGTCTTCCTTCTAAATACTAGAAGCTTATTGATCTTTTTTTTCATCCAACCGATGAAAACACACTCCCTGCCAGAGATCAGGGTGAGTGCCAGAGCAGAGGGCCCTGCCCTCTCACCCCAGCCCCAGTCCCGTGGGACAGCGAGACACAGCAGCGAGACACAGCAGCGAGACACAACACGGCCAGTCACGGTCTGGCTGGAGAACCACGTGGTCGCCCGGGGACGGGGACGGCGGCAGGAAGGGCTGCCCGGTTCCTGCCGCCGACCTGAGTCTTAGGAATGAGGAGGTGCGGTCGGCTGAGCGCTGCAGAAGCCGAGGGTGGGGGGAGATCTTCGGCAAGGCGGACAGCACACACAAAGGCACCCTCCAAGGGACCGTAAAACGTGTCACTAATTTGTGGACGTGAAGCGTGCGGCCCGGCGAGGAGCTCAGACAGTGAGCAGGTCTACCTGGTGACTGCCCGGGTCACAACGGCTCTGGCCTGCTGACATGGGGGCGCCAGCGTGACCGCGGGGACACTGGGAAGCCTTCAGAGAACTGAAAGCAGGAATAACGCGGTCATATTTAGTGTTCAGACGAGTGTCCGTCCAGTTCTAGAATCAAGTCCGTGGAGGACAAACAACACACTCTTACATCTAAAACCCAGAAGACACCAGACTGTCCAGCACATGTTAAATGTGGGAACTTTCCTCATGGGGTTTCTGTTTCAGTTACACGCACACATGTGAACTGTGCTCCTCGCTGAGGGCCACTGCTTTCCAGTCGCGGGCGCCGTGTGGAAATGGACTTGAGCGGGGACGCCGAGGCGGCAGTCCAGGTGAGACACTGGTCATGAACCAGATGTAGAGCATGACCTACAGAGCCTAAGGGGTGAAGGACAAACAGCTTCCAAAAACATGGAGGAAGCAACCAACGGGCAGAACTGTGTGACTGCCCAGACGTCGGGAAGAGAAACGTCCGGGGGACGCCCAGCGCGCAGCCTCCCCTGCTCTGGGCCGGGGGAGCCTCCCTGTTGGACGCTGGGCGTGAACAGAGAGAGAGACGCAAGTCTCCACCTCGTTCCACCTTCCTCCTCGCCCATGCCCGTGCCAACATGTCAATTTATCATCGAAACCTTGCTACACCGAAGTTGGAATGAGGATGTAAAGGACTACGTAAGAGGTCACCAGGCAGACTCTGAGTTTAGAGAAAAACAAAAATAAGATTAAGTCTTCCGCATGGTCCACAGAAAAGAGCTCTACAACCAGTGTTAAAAAAAAAAAAAAAATCGATCCTGGGTTTCAGCACCAAGTAAATCAATGACCAGTCCATATACTTAGGAGAGGACCCCCTCCTACTGGCTGCCTTCTAAGTCACCAGGGCGGAGGCAGGAGGATTAACTAAGTGCCTTCCCGGCCTGTCCCACAAGGTCCCCCGCTATGGATTCTTTTCAACTTTCCAGGCTGCGCCAAACACGCTGGAGACAGTGTAGCCTCCCCTGCCCGGCCCAGCGGACAGGGACATATCACCTTCTGAAGGTATAAACCACTTTGTAACAAGCCATTAATGTCAGGCTTTTATTCCCGAATTAATCTGTATGTACCTTACTTATGGTCATTGACTGGCTCTGATTAATTCTTGTATTATGACACTTACAAAATAAGCTGTTATTCTTAAACTGTTTCATTTGGAAAACAAATGTAGCTAAACTAAAATAGCCCACACACATCAGGTTGAATCACGACTCCAGTCTTGGTATGGAAAACATTTTTTACATTGTCTAACTCAGTCAATATTGCTCATTCTCTTGGCTAAGTTTTCATTATACTCTTGGTAAAAAGCCATCTCATGTGAAATATTTAGATTTTGATTAAAATTAAGGAAGAATAGGACTAAGAAGGGAAAGAGGAAAAATACAGGGAAGTAATTAGCTTCCATGGCATTTAAAACAACAGAAAGTTGGATATGTTTCTGGTCTGTAATGTTTACCTTTAACTGTCCTATTATGTTCTTACGTTGTCTTCTCAAATATTCTCTGAAGCAGGCCACTTACAAATTAGAAAAAGAAAGGGGAAAAAAAAGCCTAGCTAAAGATCTGAGATGTTCACATTATGGCATCTACCCTTAGCCCATAAGTTATCAAATTATGTGCATATTAAAACCTCAAAAATAAGCACCTTAAGTATAATCACATAATCTCAGAGAATGGGGTATTTCTGATTAGTTCACTATTCTGTATCTATCACAAAAAAACTTTAAATAGAATAGTTTTTAAAATCTGACAGTTTAGCAAATTATCTGCATATCTTTTTAATCTTTTGCTGATAAAAAGGTACTTCGTTATTTTTCAGAGCATTGTACTCATAACAGTAAAGAAAAAAGTCTAGCAGGGTAATGGGAATTCTGTTTTTAGAATAAAACATGTAAATTTCTTTAAAGAGGAGGGTAAAGGTACACTTTTACCACAATTCTGCAAACCTTTCAAAGCTACCTTCCAACAAGAACACACCAACAAAAGACTCACGTCTGTTCTAACGCGAAGGCTCGCCCCTTCCGGCAGACAAAGGGAGCTCCAGGTCTGATTTCCTAGGACACAGTAGGGGCCAACACGATGCACTGAGAACTTAAAATCTGTGCCTGAGGGAGAACTGGGACTGACGGGGAGATCAGCCGAGGAAGGGAGGGACTTCAGCATTCACCCCTGGCCGGGCGGCTGCTGCCAGCCTCCTCGGTGAGTTCTCCGCCTGCACTCTGCTGAGCTTTCCAAAACGCACCCCTGACTGTTGTCGACATGCTACTGGAGACTTCGTCAAGTTTCTCTGTTACTTAGGGTGAGCCTCTCTGCACTAGACAAAAAGCTTCCAGAGAGCAGGAACTGCGTCTTATTCATCCTCGTGTCTGCGGTACCTACCCCAGCATTTGGCTTATGGCAGAAGCTGAATGTTGAATGAATGAATCTCTCCTGGCCTTCTGAAGTCAGTAGTAATCGTGGGAAATTGTAATATTGACGTGTGCGCACACACACACAAAAAGCAGAATCTTAAGTGAGTAATCAGATTATTGCTTCAAACACACTGACAGTCACTGTCCAGTCTCACACATCGGTGAAACTCCGTCCACAGCCCAGCTACGCGTCGTTGAGCGTGTAACCCAAAAGGCGCTATGGGCATACGTGCTTACCGGTGCTCTCCTGTCTACACGCTGCGTGTGGTCATAGTCGATTATCTTGTGGGTGAGCACTAACTTGCAAAGTCAGTGAGTGCTAGGTCTCAACCATTCGCCAACGAAGCACAAGCACACGGGCTCCAGAAGCAGGACTGCGTCACTCCCGGTTAAAGCTAGGAGTCACCCAGGCCGGGCGGGCGGTGCTGAGGAGTGGCTGTTTGCCCGGGGAGGGGGGGGGGGGGGAGTGAAACTCCCCCTTCCGGCCAGGGGAACGCCCCTTACCTGTGTGAGGGACAATGAACTTCAGTCTCCAGGTCTGTCAGTGTGTCCTCCTTCAGGCACTAGAAATTTCAAATGAGAACTCTGTTTAAAGTCATAAACAAATAATGGCTCTTATTCAAAGTGAGTTAAAATAAACATTTCCCGGTCCAATTACATTATGTACCACAGAATTTGACTTTGCTTAGAAAAACACAGTACTGAAAGCTTATAAATGAAACTTTCCACCCCTTATTTTATTAGCTCTTACAGGGGTAGGTTCAATCCTGATAGCGAACTGACAGAAGTTCATGTTCGGGCTTTCAAGCAAGTACAATGCTGGGAGAGTTGTAGCCTTCTTTACTAAATTTGGGTTTTCAAGAATTGGGAGAAAGGGCCCTGGCTGGTGAGGCTCAGTGGACTGAGTGCCGGCCTGCAAACCAAAGGGTCACTGGATTGATTCCCAGTCAGGGCACATGCCTGGGTTGCGGGCCAGGCCCCAGTGGGGGCATGAGAGGTAACCACGTATTGATGTATCTCTCCCTCTTTTTCTCTTTCTGTTCCCCTCTGTCAAAAAATAAACAAATAAAACTCTTTAAAAAAAAGAGAGAAAGGAATATAGGTAAATTGTACTGGGCTAGCAAATTTCCAGAGTAAAGAGACTACACATTCAAGAGCTTGCTCAGCACTTAGGAGTTTGTGGCTTTAACAATAATTTGTGCCTCATCGAGCCTCAATTCCCCCATCTGTAAAATGGAGCTAATACTTGCCTTCCCCAGCTCACTGTGAGGGATTTTTGAGAAGACAAAATATGTGAATAATGCTTTGTAACAGAACAGACCAATACAAAATTTCCTGTATTGAGAGACAGAAACATCAATTTGTTGTTCCACTTATTTATGCATTCATCAGCTGATTCTTGTTTATGTACCCTGATCGGGACTGAACTCGCAACCTTGGGGTATCTGGACAACGCTTTAACTGAGCTACCCAGCCAAGGCCAAACGGACCAATACATTGACTGTTATCCTAGTTCTCAGTGTTCTTCAAACAAAATGCCTGTCTTCCTAACAAGATGTAATTATCTCCACTTATTTACTCTTATGCGCCTAGTTTTCAACTCAACCACCGTCACCCTCCTCAACCTTTTAGAGTGATTTCCGCCTTACTACTTGTATTCAAGACAAGCATTTGCTAGATCAAGAGAAGAAACATCAAGCTTTATCAACGTTTAAATTATGTGGTGACCTGCAGCACTTCCTGCAGCCCACCTGTTGCGTAGGATTGTTCCTTGAGACAACAGTTCCGATGTTAGCTGGCACAGTCTCCTTTGTGCTAATCACTGGTCAGGTTGGCACCTGGCCCAGAGACTACAATGAGATGCTGTTTAGTTAAAGCTTTACTTCCTTTACATCATCACATGATTTAAGAGCTCTTTACAGACTTAGTGCCTTTTAATTCATTGTTTACCCTCGCCTCCCAAAATACATAAATCCTGAATTTTACAGGAAAAAATAAGACTACATTCCAAAAAGCCCTCTTTGATTAAAGCATTAAATACATACTCTGAAAAAAACACTACTTTTTGATCTTTATTATCTCAAGTGACGCTTTTATAATCTGCAAACTAAGCAGACCATGGAGAGCAGTTCTCACTGGTGGGGAAAAACACCGTTCCCTTTGCATGCTGAGACTATTTCAGTAACAGTGGTACTTCTTCTTGAAGCCATGTACGTATACACATTTGACACTATTTATGACAAGGAAGTTTCCCCCGAACTGCCAATTTGCCCTCTTCCACTATTGATTATTTTCATTGAGGAAGGCGTGCATTTGAGATTTTGCCCCCCACCCCCGAGTACGTCATCAGTTTGGCTAAAATAAACTCTTACAAAAATTCAAAAAGTAATAAATAAATACATTGGGCAAGAAGGTTGGGGGAGGGAGAGGAGGGGAAAGGGAAGAGAGGAGAGAGAAGGGGAGGGGGGGAGAGGGGGGGAGAGGGGGGAGAGGGGGAGGGGGGAGAGGGGGGGAGAGGGGGGAGAGGGGGGGTGGGGGAGAGCAGGCGAGCAGGGGGCAGAGGGGAGAAGGGGAAATCCGAGTCCCAGAGTTCCAGAGGGCGAGTCCCAGAGTCCCAGAGGGCGGCTGTGCTCCTCAGGCTGCAGGGGAAAGGGGCCTGGAGAACAAGTGCAGGCAGCACTGCCACTCCACTGGGTGGGAGGGGGGTTTGGGGGGGGGGGAAGAGCCCGTCGGAAAGGGATGAGGCTCCCCATCCTCTTCTGCTCGGGCTAGAGGGGCTCTCTGCTGACTACAACAGCACTGCCCAATCTCCGGCAGGCCAGCTTGTTTCCCGCTGAAGGTGTTCTCAGAGCACGTGCCAGAGTGGAGCAGTGCAGGTCAGGACGAAGTTAAAGAATGACGAGCCACTGGGTGCGGAGATTCCTGAGAGGCAATGAGTCTGGCAAAGGTGAAAACTGAAGAATGTCAGTCAGACTGCCCAGGGCCAGCCAGGTTCCTGCTCTGCAGCTTTCTGCTGGGGCCCAGTGGGCGCTCTACGCTCCTCCTCTGGCTCCCCTTTAGCCCAGACTTGGGCAGGTAGGCAGAGAAGTTCATCTGGTACAAGGTAACCTATAGGCAGTTTTACCCAGTGATCTTTTTCACCATTACAGGAGAGAAATCCAGGGCACTGAGAATAAGCTGCCTTCCCACCGTAGGAGTAAGGAGGCAAAACCACTGTTAAGAAAGCCTTGCCAACACTGTACACGCTGCTAGTCTAGTTCTCCAAGCACAAAACATGGATTTCCCTGCCTACTGCCCCCCCACCCCCCGCCCTGTTACCACTCTGCTTATCAGAGATTCTGTTCATATTTCAAGACCCTCTTGTAAGCTACCTCTTCCAGGGAGATCTCCTAGTTTTCTAATCAGGGCCATGCACTCCTATAGCAGGCCCGTCATTCACACCTAAGTCTTCATATTCTGCTCTGAAGGAAAAAAAAAAACCAAAAATCTACGGGCGATCTTCTTATCCACACTGGGTTCCTAGACTCCTGTTGGGGGAGGGACTGTATCTTGTTTCTTTTGAAAGCCCTTTGAGACCCTGGAGTAAAGGGCACTCAACTGCCATTTTTTAAGTGGCCGAATGTGGAGTTATAACAACTAGCGGACAAATCTTGTAGATGCAAGTCCTTGCGGCAGCCCTCACTGGCACGTTCTTTTTGCTATCATTTTTAAGATCAGCTGTAGCACCGGTGTCCAGAAAATTGCCTTTCTACTGTTGTTGTTCAAAGCAAATGATAGGTTTCAACTGCTCCCAGATCCTAGCCTGAAAAATGTAAGGAGTTGAAACAGAATCAGAAGAGACCATCTGTGGGCCTTACAGTCATTCCCACAGGCACACCCCCCCAACCACAAACCCTACACAAACAAAGACTGGGAGTTTGAGAGACTGGCTTCTCCCCCACTGCTCCGACTACACTCAGTCGGTCGGTAGAACACAGCAAGGGAGCAGCATCACGTGCCAGGCATCAGGACGAATAGATGGTTAAGAATTGAGTCCTACCATGCTTCCTTTAGGCTGGGTAATATTTTCCCAATTTTTTTACCCTATACCACCTTCTTGAGAAACAAAAACACCACACCCTTCTATAATTGGTTTTTTGTAACCCAACATAAAATTATAAGACTTTATGTTCCTACCTAAATGAAATTAAATAGAGATTCTGACATGTAGCCCAACAAGCTCCTCCACCCACAACCAACTCCATCTCCCCACATTCCGTTCCACTGGATTATGATTTTAAATCATTCTAGGCTACCCAGGAAACACATTATATCAATATTGGGGTTTTGCATTTCCTGTGAGAAAAGCTATCTAAACTCTTGATCAGACTCAAAATCGATCCCTGTTAAGAGAAACAGGATGTGAAAGCACTTTGGAGGAATATTTAAGTGAACAGGATCAAAAACAAGATCCAGAATTAGCCTAAAACAGATGACGTGGCTTTCCATGGCTCCGAACGTAACATCTGTGTAACCCCCCATTGGAAACACCTCCGGAGAACTGGAGTTACGGACAAGAGCAGAATCACACTGAACTAGAATTGTAAATCGGTCAAACTTACACACTTAAAAGAGAAACCTAGAAAGGACAGACACAAAGAAAAGGATGTCTTACTCCCCTCCCATAAGCCATGCTATTCCTGCTCTTCTTATCCATACAAAGTGGATAAGAAAATAAGTGAATTTTTTTTTAAAGTTTCGATCAAAGAAAGAACACAAACTTCTTAGATGTCTCAACCTACAAGGAAACATTTGGCATAGACACTTGGTAAGGACTTTCCATCCGCCTTCCAACACAATCTGTGCAATGAAAGGCCACACTCTATCTCAGAAGGAAAAATCTATCAAGTACATGAGCTCTTCCACCTGTCATAACCTGGTCATTTTCCTTGTGATCCTTTTTCCTGATTCATCCCTGAAACAGAGCAAACGTTACTCGGTGGCGGCAGCAGCAGCAGCAGAGCACACCACCCTGCTGCAGCGCTCGGCGAGAGCATCGGGAGGGAAGGGCCACAGCAGAGGTGAGCACCCAAAGGAGCCCGTGAAGCCCCAAGGCCACAGGGCAAGCCCGACAAGCAGGGGCCACCTCTCATTACCTGTGTGGTCCAATCCCTCCTGTACCGTGGCTCTGAGCAACCCTCTCTCGACCGCTGGTCAAGGCAGGACATACTTTTGGGGGGGTTTTGTGTGTGTGTGTTTCAGAGACTCCATGAACCTGGTTGTGAAATGTCCTTGTGTGTGAAGGCTCGTGGGTGCCCGCCTGCTCACTAAGTCATCCTAGCAGGTCAGGCTAGTCCTGGAGCTGCTAGCAGGAGGGAGGTGCAGGATTTCAGAACACCGCGAAACCTTGTTCTTCGTACCAAGGCATACAAACTCCGGAGGCGGGAAGGTGGGGGAGGCAGGCATCTGTGCTATCCGAGGCGAGCACAGGCGGAGCAGTGAAGACCACGAGTGCTCGGCCAGGCCGGGTCGCCGTTGGGATGCTTCCTTGCACCCGGCACCGGGGAGTCGGGCTGCCCACCTTCCTTCCCCGCCCCGTTCCCCTCCGTCGGCGGCGCCAGGAAGACACACCCCCGGACACCTACCACCTGAGCGCGATCTTCCCCATCCTTCGGCGTCCACCTTTATCTACCCCGGACTCCGGAACGCCCCGGCGGCCCAGCTCCGTTCTCGCCCCTCCTGATGCCCAACCCCCCCGGCCCATCCCCCTCGGTGGTCACGACCCCTGCCTGCCCTGGCACCGCCAGCTCCGGGCTGCCTGGAACACTAGAACCGTAACCTTCAACGCCCTTTCGCCTTCTCCCCTCCGCAGCTCGCCAGCCCGCACCGGGGTCCGGGCCTCTCCTCCCCCCAGGTCCCGCGGGCGGGGGGAGAGACCCGCACGAACCAGACTCTCGGCGGGCCGCCCCCGGGGCCAGGTCTCCCTCGGTCCTGAGCCGGACCGATCCCGAGCTCCTTCGGGCCTAGTCAAGGGCACCTCCTCCACCCGGCCCCCAGCCCGCCCGCGGCCCCTCAGCAGCCCAGCGCCGGTCCCCCTCGCGGGCCACTCACCCGAAGGTGTCCGGGTGGCGGCACAGAAGGAGAAGAGAGCCACGAAGGCGCAGGGTGCGGTGCCGGCCCTCGCCACCCGCTTTATAGCCGTCCAGCCTCCCGACTCCGGCACCGCCGGGAGGCGGGGGAAGGCGGGGCAGAGGCTCGAGCAGCCAATCGTGGCCGGCAGACTAGGCCGGCAGTGCCCGCCCCGCAGCCCGCCTTCTTCCAATCAGAAGGAAGATGGAGGCGGGAGCTCGCTAAATTTTTCCCTCGTGGATGGAAGGGCGGGAGGAGGGGCGGAGTCCAAGTCTGAGGGCAGAGGAAGTGGGGTGAGAGAGTGACGTGAAGTGGCCCGAGAACCGGCCTGCCAATGACAGAGCGGCGCGAGACGGCCAGAGCCAACGGGAGCGGACTGAGAGGTTCTCCGTCCAATGGGAGCCGAGCGAGAGGAAACGGGGGCCAATGGGGCCGGCGCGTCCCACCACTGGGGAGAGATAGTCAAGTGTGCCAGACAAGTTGGTCCTTGCTGAGAGTCTGTCAGGTTGCCTAGCAACCAGAGCTCGGCTTCACCTGTAAGATCGGTGAAGTACTTGTTTTACATGCAATCTTAACGTTTTCTAGTTTCCAGAGCTGCGAAGTGCGCCTTCCTTACAAGCTGGAGCAGATTACGCCACCCAGAATGTGTAAATCCGTAAATGTTCCAAATATCCGATTTGTAAATACCCAATATGGTCACCTCTATTCAAAGCCACCTTGACTTTTTAAGAGACTGCTAGTCGGACAGTCCTTCCTAACTAAACCCAAGACAAGGTAGATTGGGGTGAGACCCCGGCAAGGACAGAAAGGGGAGTTGACCCCGATTCTGGGCTCTTTGCTAGCCCATGCACTGGGAGAAAGGGGCTCCGTGGGGCCTATTCCCCACTTGCATCTTCTGAGCTTGAGATGTCGTAGGTGCCAGATCAAAGGCTGTTGGACAAAGGAAGACACCCCACGGTTCTCAGTGGAGGGAATCCACAGAATAGGGACTGCCCCCAGAAAGCAGAGGGGAGCAAGTCAAGCCCGAGGAAATCGCTGGAATGCTATTTGGGAGAATCCAAAGGAGGACAATTAGGACCTTATAGGAGACTCTGCCTCCTCTTCCTCAGATAGGGAAACCCCAACACTTAGCTTTGGTCGGGGGGCCGTGGGAGGTTCAGAGTTGTTCGTGTCTCTCACCCTCTGAGCTTGGAAGCTGCTGATAAAGAGTCACTGATGATTCTATGCATCACGTAACTGCCGTTACGAGAAAATGCATTATCCACTACAGACACTGATCTAGTAAGAGACATTCTCGGCAGCAAAGTAGCAACATACATTGGCGATGGAACAAGTGGTAGCATTAAGTTTTCCAGGGGAGAGGAGCACTCGTTAACGGTGTTCTCTCCACAGTGTCACCTGTGACATTCATTCTGTTCCATAATCAATGCCATTTCATACTTTCTGAGAGTAACTAGGTGATAAAGGGAGAGACACAGCCCAAGTGTGATGAACAGCAATTTTGAGAGAGGGATTAAACATCCTTGGCCTCTTAGAAAGGATTGAGAGGCAGTTAAGGGCTAACATAAGAAAGAAGACACAGCTTTGTTCTTAAGAAAGGGTGGGCACATAGTTCCGGCTCCAGGAGTACACAATAGGAAATGATTAGCCCGACGGTCATGAGGACGATCATCTTGTACAACAGGAAATTTCCACCAGGCACAGACTATCTTTTCGATCCAATCCATCTTCCTTGAAACAAAGTGAGCATGGTTGTTGATCACTGGGAAGCCAAGCCATGGATAACAAAATGGGTTAGTAATTAAATATAGAACGGCTCAACTGAATTTTAAAAAACAAGCCTCTGAGATTCTGTAAAATACAGGAGATTATACCAGGCACAAGTATCTGATATGGCCATGCAATTGAGGACAAAGTATACATACTCCTCCTATATTTATTCTGCAAGGGTTTTTTTTTGAGCTACAATTGGACACAAGGAGAGTGAAGTCAGTGTCATACTTGAATATGCATTATTAACATATGGTAAGATGTGTTTTATGACATTGTTTCTAAATGTCCTGCCAAGTAGTACTGGTCAAAACTGGCTGTATATCAGTTTATTGTTCTGCACTACTTTGAAAGGAACAAAAGTTTCTCAAGAGTCAGGAAGATGTAATGATAACATTTCGTATTATAAATTCATCCAGTGGATAAATATTTACTTTCTACCTGCTCTGTGGCAGGGATCATGCTAGACCTGTGCTGCCCAATGAGGCGAACACTAGCTACGTGGGTCTCTTGAGCATCTGAAAGGTGGCTGGTCCACTGAGATGTGCTAAGCATGTAAAATAATACACCAGATTTTAAAGACCTAGTGCAAAACGAAAGGGAAACATCTCATGAATAATTTTTATGTTGATTATATGTAAAGATAATATTTTTGTTATATTGGGTTAAAAAAGATAAGTATTAAAATTAACTTTACCTGTTTCATTTTCGTGTTAAAGGTAACTGCTAGAAAATGTAAAACTACAGAGGCAGCTTCCACTGGTGCTGGACAGTTGGAAGACCAGACTCTGTTCTTTCAAGAGTTCATAGTCTGAAGAGTGGAGGAGAGAAAAACAAGGAGCCAAGGGCTGGGTTTCCAGCCTGCAACTCACTAGTTACAGAGTGAGAGGGTGGGGTGGGAGGAACCTCCAAATGTGCCAACAAAGATATTTCCATCTCTTCAGATTTAAACAGCTGTATTTACCTAAACATTTCGTCAATTCAAAGTTGAATTCCCTGTCAGGGCCATCTCTCCGAAAGCCTTCCACTAGGCAAGACGGTGTCGGGTTTTATGGAATTGACTGGGTCGTTACATCAGAGGAGGGGCTCAGCCCTGCCTGTGGGTTCCGGGACTGGCCTCCTTGGCTGGCCAGGCCCCAGCCTTGCCTGTCCCCAGGGCTGTTGAGTCCTAAGGTGTCACATCAGGCTCACCCAGCCTGTGTGCAGCAAAGCCCCACAGCCCGGCCAACCAGCAGGGCTGGGCTATCTTCTTCCCCCTGCTCCACAGGAGGAATTTCCGTCATCCCTGCACAGGACTTGGGAACCGGTGGGGGAGGGGGATGGGAGGGGGGGGCGGCAGGGTGGCCTGTCCCTACCTGAGTGCACAGTGACACGTGTTCTACTCTCCTGCCACACTCCAAAGTGGTCTTGTGGGTCCCAGGGAGATACTCTCCTCTCCCCAGGATGTGGCCCCCTCAAAAGTTCTGAATGGGAACTTGATCAGAAACCCTGCTGATCTAACACCCCCGCCCCAGCAATCCAGTGCGTTTTCCAACGCTGCCCGCTCTGCGGTTTGACCTCTCGCCCTTCCTCTTGCCCATCTCCTGAAAAGGTCACTGCTGTGGGAGGATGAGTGAAAGGCAGTTTTTATTTTAAAAAATTTTTTCCTCACCCGAGGACATGCTTAGTGATTTTAGAGAAGGGAAGGAAAAGGAAAAGAGAGGGAGAGAAGCATCAATCGGTTGCTTTCATAGGCGCTCCAAAGGGTAATCAAAACTTCAGCATAGGCATGTGCCCTGACTGGGAACCGAACCCATGACCTTTCAGTTTGTAGGATGACGCCCAACCACCTAAACCACACTGGCCAGGGTGAAAGGCAGCTTTTAAATAACACAACTGGCAGTTTTGATACGGTTCAAGTGCTACACAAAGAGACATGCCCAAAGGATAACGTAAGTTCAAAGGACTATCCGGTCCATCCTATGGTTTTCAAAGAAGGCTTTTCAGAGCATGTGATATTCATTCACGTGTCAGTCACATTCTGAAATCCGGATGGAGTACTGCTGGGTGCCAGGCACTGTCCTAGGCTCAGGGGTTCTGGGTCGTGCACAAGACAGACACAATTTCTGAGCCGGTCAGGCTTGGCGGAAGAAAACTCAACACTGTGTAAGAAAACTGGTAAGTTATCTTCAGTGACAAGACAATAAAGAAAATAATGCAGAGTAATGAGACAGCAAATGACGGTGGGGTGGATACGTACGTGAGGTGGTTGGGAGAGGTCTCTCTGAAATAGTGGCACTTGAGGATCAGAAGGGGCCAACCCACAGAACTCTGGGAGCCCCGCGATGCAAGGGGAGGGGCCAGCGGGGGCCAAGGCGAGCCTGTTTGAAGAACGGGAAACAGAAGGCCCACGTGTCTGAGCTGAGTGTGGAAGGACTACCCAGAGCTCTCTGGGTCGAGGACCAGAGGGTGTGAAGATGAGGAGGGGCAGGGGGAGTCATTTCAGGGAAAGGGATCCATCCAGCGTGCACTTGTGAGGACTGTGCCTCTAATCACGGGGGAAGTCGAAGTCATGGTCGGTGACCGTGAACTCTCCCTTGGGCTGGGTCTTGCAGGTAAAAGGAGCGGTAATGGAGCCGGGTGCCACATTTTCTCTTCTCCACGGGGAGGGGAAGGAATCGTTCAAGGAAATGCCCTTCCTACACTGTGCTCCTGAGAGTAATCCATTCCTCACTTGGCAACATCTGTAGTGAGCGTTTGCTGAGTATTTCTTCTTTTCCAGGTTCTAATATGTGTCCTTTTTTTACTTTATCCCTTCAGTCAACCCTACTATACAAACTCCAAATTACAAATGAGGACGCAGAGGCACAGAGAGGTGGGGTAACTTGTTCCAAGCTACTCAATTGCGGAGTAGCAACGCTGGAACTCAAACCCAGGTCTTCGGATGTCAGAACCCATGTTCCCCCGCCCCCTGTTCCGCAGACAAAATTACAGCTGTGCTCACAGATGGGGCGGATAGGCAAGGTGGGTAATAAGGGGCCAGCTCTTGCTACCTAGGGAATCTTACCTTAGAACAGCTTTGGTGCCTGGCTCATGGGCTCCACAGACTTCTTTTCGCTTTGGTTTGGTTTTGAATATTTTATTGTTTATGCGATTATGCTTGTCCACATCCATGGGTCATGCATATATGAGGGGGGAGCCCCCCGCAAACGGAATTTATCTATAAAAAATTGTGCATTTCTTCTTAACACATGTAAACATCAGTCACCTTCAAAGTGCTCTGCATTTGATGCAATACACCTATTGAGACTTTTTTTCACTGCTCAAAACAGTTTTGGAATGGGTTGATTTTGATGTCT